CTCCAGTTGCTTGCTTTCGCCTCACCAATTTGACTGGACCAGTTGGCAGACATATCGGTGGGACTGGTTGTCCTGTGCCTCACCAATGTGGTTGTGCTGGCTGGTGTCTTTATTATCCTTTGGGTCTGTTCGCTGTCCCTCTGTGCTGTAGGCCTCAGTGGGGGCCTGGAAACTGGTGGAGACTTTCCTGCTTGTGTCTGGCAGAGCACACAGGTATTCAGGGTTTCTTGGTCTTGGTCTTTTGATTGGAGTAATGATATCTTTACAGTATAACTCACCACAATGCTTGTTTTTGTCTTTGTGTCATTGTGGTACATTTTGCTACTGAAGTGATGGTGATAATGTGGAAGATCATAGGCATAACTTAACAAATGGAGGGAACAAAATGATACATCACAAGTATATCAGTTCACTGATGTCTCAACCTGGCATGTTTGGACCCAAAATGCAGAACTGAAGCCAAACTTAATGAACAAACTAACCTTTATTCATGTGAAGTTGGGAACCAAATGTCCAATGAGCAGAAACCAAACATCCATGAATCCAAAAAAGAGAAAACACATGGCGGAGCGGAGACCTCTGGCAGAGACGAAGTAAAACCAGCAGACGAGGAAACTAGGGGTGCAACGATACACAAAATTCACGGTTCGGTTCGATACTTTGGTGTCACGGTTCGATATTTTTTAATTTGTCATTTATTAAAATTATAAATATATATTTTAACTCAAAAGTACAGTTTTTAAATTTAATGTTGCTGAAACAACAAAGTAATAAAAATTAAATCTATCTGATTGAGAAATCACTCATCTTTGGAAAAGAGAGTTTATTACAGAGAAATGTCTCTTTCCAAAATAAAAGCTATACTATACGCTTCTTCTGGGCTATATTCTCAGCAGCATATTAAACATATCAGGTCCCCATAAGGAGAATCATGTGCTAACGGCTGTCTAAATGACTCGGGTAAAGTTTGTACCATGCGTGCTTGTTGTTTTTGTCTGCTTCCACTTGTCTTTGCACTAGGATGATGTCGGAGTAAATGTGCAGTCATATTCATTTTGTTCCCACTAGTGCTGTCAGCGTTAATCTCGTTGAAATGACGTTAACGCCATAACACGGCAAATCTCTGTTAACGACCTACCGCGGATCACCCCGTGCGTGGGGCTGGACGGCCAACACGTTAACAAGCTAACTGCGCTAACACACTAGTTCCCACCAATGTAAATGAGCATTGCGTGGCACATCCAACATACTGTTTTACTGTAGTCCATGACGCGCTTACCTTCAGGGTCATACGTCACATGAAAACCAAAATAGTTCCAAACGCCACATCTGAACTGGGGGGGGGGGGGGGTCAATTTGCCATGTTGCAATAACCGTATGACTGTTCCCACCACTAACACATGACCCTACGCTGTGTTCACTGCATCATTCCATGTTTTGGCACTGATCACCACCTGCACTCATGTATATATCTATCTATCTACTTAGCACTTTTAATTCTTATTCCCATTTTTATTTTCATGTCTATTTAAGCTTAATTTATAACAGTATGTTTGCACTGAAGCACTGCAGCAATTTCCTAATGTTGTAAACCCGCTCAACATTTGGCAATAAAACCCTTTCTGATTCTGATTCTGATTCTGCAACGAGAGCTTACCTTCTGTCTCGCTAGCTTGCCCTGCGCTCAGTGAATCTGCGTTCGACTACTCCGCCTAGGCTGCACTGTCGAGGGCAGATCCACTGAGCGTTCAACACAGACAGCAACGTAAGAGGGAAAGTTGATAAAATGAATTAAAAATGTTGTATTGTTCGATACATATGCGTACCGAACCAAAAGCACTGTATCGAACGGTTCAATATCGATACGAGTATCGTTGCACCCCTAGTGGAAACCTCTGGCAAAGACGAGGCACGGCCAGCAGGTTTGGAAACCTCTGGCAGCTGCTGCTGGGGCATGGGAACCTGGGAGTGGATGCATTCAGCTAGCTCCAGAGCGTGAATCCCTTCCCTGACTTCATGCAGATGTTTAATAAAATCAATAAAGCCTTACTAATTTTGGTCCTGAAGCCAGTCATTTCATCAAGTTTGGGCTGCCGACACCGGCACCCACAGTTTCTGTGTTGCTGCAACATGTTTTGCGTTTAGATGGTACTGTAAGGTTGAAGTGCTTCGGTGGTATGCAAACTCCATTTTGCACAGTTTGCACAAAATCACGCTTTTATCAAGGCTTCCGTCGAGCAGTCTTTTGCAATGAAATTCGCCTCTGATCTATGGCAAGCCATTAAAATGCCGTTTAATTATTCTGAAAACAGAGTTTTTTCTGCCACTCAGATGGGGTGTTCAAGGCGCCAGTCTGTGGCGTAAAAAAATGGTGTTCTGTCGGGACAAACTGCGGGGTTTTTCAGCGTTTTGAATAATTAAACAGCGTTTTTTACGCCATTTCTTAACCAAATGGGTTAGAAAAGTGGCGATTTTTGGCTCTAATGGCTTGCCATACTGATCAGTCCTAGCGCTTTTTTCTGATTCTTCCATTTTTGAAGCCATGTGCATCAGTGTAATCGGTATACCAGGAAATCATGCATTGACAAAAGTTCCCCATTGCTTGGAATGCAAAGTGTGATTAAATGCGTTGATCTTTTTATGCTTTTTTTTTTTTTCAAATTAATTAATCACAATTAACGTATTAAATTCCCACCCCTAATAATTATATAAATGAATCAGTTTGGCACCTGTCATTTAATAGTGATTTTATTCAATTGGAAATATGTAATTTTACTATGACATTTTATTAAGTGGGCAAATAGTGTTTCTTGTTTCTGACCTGTGTGTTATCAGTAATTTATACACTGATTATAATGAGAAAATGAAATAGACTACATACTCATGAGTGTTTTGTTGCATTTTGCTGAACAAATTTTACCTAGCCATTGCAGTCTTGCAGCAGTAAACACATGTTTTTCTATCATTTTAATTGAAAACTAAATTAGTAAATAAAAAATTAAATGTAATGTTTCTAAATACCATGAAACAGGCTTACTGGGAGAAAATGGAAAAAAAAAACACCACTGGTTTTACAACAGCAGTAGTGAGTTGTGAGCAGCGTCTATCAGAATCAGAATCAGAATCAGAATACTTTATTGATCCCTGGGGGAAATTATTTTTTGTTACAGTGCTCCATTTTAAACCAACTATGTGTGCTGCTCTGCTCAAATGAGTTATACATGGAAAGCCAAGACGTGCATATCAGTGTACCAGCCTGCTGTCTGAAGGCATCAGTGAAACTAGACAGCTGGAGCAACACTCAGGGTTCTCCCCTCATTATTGTGGAAATGGAAATGTGTGTGGGTGTGCAACATATAGCTGTGTCAAGCCCGGGGAATCCTCTCTGGGAGAGCAGTATGTCTTTGATTTCACCTGTGGATTAGGAGTTCCTGATGGGAATGTTATGGCATTTTTCAGTTGTTGATGTGATTTTCTTTTATTACCTATGTGTGTGCGCTTGTGCGTGTGTTTGTGAAATAGAGAGAGAGAGAGAGAGAGAGAGAGAGCAAACGAGTGAGAGACAGTAACAGAGAGACAGAATGACACAAGCTGAAGGGCACAGTGGTTGAGAATGTTCATCCTTAATCCCAACTTTCAACCAGCCAGCTCAAAGCCAGCTCTCCAGCCCATATGAACTTTAAAGCATGTTGACTCTTCTCATGAAGTCATAATGCACATATGTTTGCACACACACAGACACACACTAACAAGATAAGAAAGTAGTGACTGAAACAGAGTAATACATAATATATAGATTCCTTCAGGGTAGACGAGGACAACAGAATGAAACCAATGAAAGCACAGGTGTGGATTTTTTGGGTGGGACACAACAACTCTGACCTGTGAAGCAGTTATGGGCTGTGCTACCTAATTAGTCAGTCAGACGTTTATTCTGGTCAGCGGCTCTTTCTCCACAGTTCTTGGTATCTTCAAATGTAGTGCTGCACCAATGGTACTGCAGCCTGCTCCTCCTGGAAACTGATGTGGTTGCCTAGAAACAATGGTTACAACCCGCCATCCTTTAAAAGCAGTAAATTAATTTCCACATTGTCTTAGAATTTTATTTTTCAGAAGAGCTGTCAAAAACCAAATTGTGAACCCAAAAACCGAAAAGTGCTCTGTATCTGTCAGTCTTTCTCTTACTGGCTGCCTTTCTGATTTAATTGTGTGTTTAGCATCACTTTTTTGTAAGTAGAATAAATTTAAAGGTGAATAAATTATTATATGGATCAACAGATGAGTACTTTCATCCTGGGAGTTAGTAAGACTGAGTCAGATAAGCAGCATTGAATACACTGTAGTGTTTTTTCTGGGTTAGAGTACGGTGGTACTGAATATAGTCTGTGCCCTGCAGCTGCCCTGCTGGTCTTGTCAAAGCCTTTTTATAGTGGCAGTCTTCTCAGCACCACAGCACAAATGTTTTCTGGAGCTCTTTATCCTAGAGGGGTAGGATTACACATGCAAAGTCACGTGTGCGCACTTAAACACAATAACACACACATATAATCACTTTTCTATAAAAATACTTTTCTTGTATTTTATGGTAGGAGGAATGTGTTTATTGTTATGTTTTTTGCATGTGTTTTATGATCGTGTAAAACAGACTGAGCAGAAATGACACACACTCTCAGGATGACATTAACTTTACTAATACACATGTCCAGCAATGACACACACACCAGCACGCGTGCCCCCTCCCTGGCCCTGTGAGTGTCACTCCGCTGTGTTTAGACACAGTATCGTTACAGCCTGTGCAGAGAGAAAAGCACACTGATGCTATAAGTGTGTCTGTGTGTGTTTGTTTGAAGTACTGCTTGCATGTTGCTGAGGAGACACTTCGGCTCTCAGACTGTCCAAGTCCTCATTGATGATCCCGTTTCATTTTGTCGTTTGTCTGTTTAAAAGTTTGTTCACCTTTCCTTCACTCTTTTGATTCGTCCATCTGTTGACTGGAACAGGACGAGGTCGACCAAGTATGACGGCCACCTTAAGCTCCTCCAGCGGCTTAGAGGTCCTCCTTTCCACTCTGCAGGTATGTGCTCCTGTATGTGACGTGTTGGTATAAAACACTGAAATAACAAATCAAAACAATTACTTAACTTCCATATTAGCTTTAATGTATGCTGAGCCCCTAATAGTCTGTTAGGGATATAAAAAAAAGGAGAAAAATAAAATAAAAACTAAAATATGTTTTGCTTTGCCTCAGCTGATTTACTGAGAGGAATGTCTGAGGTTTGCGTGTTTGGAATATTAACAAGATATGATTTTTGTACTTTGCGTGTGGTATATTTTGCAGGCTCGCATTGGGTAATTGCTGCATCAAACATGTATCAAATATACATCAAGCTCGATCCACATTCATATGCTGTATCATGTTCACATTATTTGGTTTGTGGTTGACACTGGATCCTTAAAAAGTTGAAGTTGGACATAAACTTGGGTCCTGCATCAGCATTAAACTAGGATCTTTAAATAAAAGACATGTAACTGCAACACACTCATATGGAGCAGTGATGAAAACCTATCTATCTATCTATCTATCTATCTATCTATCTATCTATCTATCTATCTATCTATCTATCTATCTATCTATCTATCTATCTATCTATCTATCTATCTATCTATCTATCTATCTATCTATCTATCTATCTATCTATCTATCTATCTATCTATCTGCTTGTTAAGGTATTGGTGAAAGGGACCGTGATGGTATGATACAAAACATCCCTGGGGTGCTACAGTTGGATACTGGGGGGTATAGGGGTGGAGAGATTGAAACAGCAGGTGGCATTACTGGCTGAACATCATTCTTTAAAAAGTGGCGGACTAACCTCACATTTTTAATGACAACACATTCTGACTACTGAGTCTGGGCAGTTCTTTCAAATAGTGTTTCATACCCACAGTCCTGAATTTACAGTTCAGTCAGTCTAAACCTAATCCCAGCATCTGAGAATGAACAGATTTCCTGAGTGTGGATGGACTGCCAGAAACCATTCTAACTGCAGATGAACCCTGAGTTGCTGAATCGGACTTAATAATACAATTCAAAGTACAGTTTTTAGTGACTGATCTTTATTAAGTGTTCCTCTGAAGGAACCTCAAAAGCCACGAAAGGTGGTCATATAGGATATCTCCTCTACAGAGAAAGTTTCTTTCAGCACTCCCCTATTAGCACAAAACAAACGAGGAAAGGAATATATTGGCTTTACATTGAACATATTCATGCAGCTCTTATCGATTTTTTGTTACTGCTAAAGGACACAAAGACAGACAATGTGAAAAATGAAGCGCACTACATGATTCAAAAGCTTGTAGAACAACCTTCAGCAGCATTATCCAGAAGCTATCCTTTTCTGTAGGACTTTATCAGTCTCTGTGATCACTGAGGAGGAATTTTGTTCCATTCTTCTTTACAGTGTTGCTTCGCTCATTCAGGCTTGCAAGCAGTCATTTATACGCAGCTCTCTGAAGGTCTCAACACAGCATTTCAGCCAGTTTCAGACAAAGTTTAGCTGTCTGACCGATGGCCTCTCCTTTGACTCTAGAATATTTTGGTACACAGAGGAGTTCATGTTAGACTCGGTGACTGCGCCGTTCTTGGGTCCTGTGGCTGTAAATCCAGCTTAAATCATCCCCCCTCCACCACCGTGCTGACAGCTGGTATGAGGTGTTTGTGCTGATATATCGTATTTGGTTTTCTCCAAACGTGGTGTTGTCCATGAACACCAAGCATCTCCAGTTTGGTTTGTCCAAAGGCATTGGCCTTCATACCTCAATTTGATTTTACTTTACAAATAGATTTAGAAGTCCATTTCACACTTACAACCAAATGAAGACCTAACTGTGCTGGGAAAGTAAAGACAAATCTTTAAAATGAATACTACTATTACTACCACTACTACTAATAATAATATTAACAGTACCATAGCACTTAATTTACAAAGCACTTTTAAAAACAACAACCGGGCTGACCGAAGTGAGCAGTTTTCTAAAACATCATAGGCCACAAAATGTACAGAATTACACAAAAAAATACAAGGCATGTAAGGAAAACAAAGTGATAAAAGTAAAGACGTAGGCTTTATCCTTTTAATTTAAATATATTTAATTAATCTCACTCGTCTTAACTTAAATGGTCTTATCTTTCTATCTTTCTTTCTTTCTTTCTTTCTTTTAAAAAATTGCAGTAAGTTTCTCATCTCAGGCTAACAGGACACTTACTTGTTCTCTTTCTTTTAGGGGAAATGACATCGAGCTTTCCTTTTTTTTTTTTATCAGGTGAAGCCTTTCTTTGTTATTTACTTAATTTTAAACGGTCATCACTCTCATAGAAACACTAAGAATGTTGTCCATTTTCTGGCTGAGTAGCTTTTCTACTCAGACTTTCTCCTTCTGTTTTGCCTTAGAGACGCACACTTCTCTCTTACATCGTCACCTCCAGATGAACCTGTTTCTTTGTATAGACAAATGGGGAGGGGTGGCTTTATGCAGATTATAGGCAGTATGTAGGATTTAAAATGACTGTGATTTATTAATATACGCACAGCAGTAAGAAAAAAACTGTGGCATAAATCTAACATGACTTTAATTGCAAACTCTTTTTTTGTAAGAAATTTCTCGTGCATTTATCAGCAAATGAGGCCCATTGTTTCAGAAGTCTTGTGGTTTGTTCAGGTTTCAGCTTTGCAAACCTATGTTACCTTCTGCAACCCTTCCTAACCTCCTTGCTCAGGGTTAACATTTATCATTGCTAATTGAGGCCTGTAAAGTTTTTTGCAGGTTCTCTTAGTATTGCATGCGCTGACCTTTGGGTGAAAATTTGCTGGGATGTCCACCTTTGGGAAAATTGTCAGCTGTCTTAAATGTTTTCCAGTTGTGAATAATAATAATAGCACTGTGGACTTCAAGTTGTTTGCAAATGAGCTCATAAAGGTTCCCAGATTATTGGGAATATTTATATTTTTTGTTACTGCCTGTTAAAGCAGCTCTTGCGGAATCAAACCTGTAGACATGATTATTCAATTTTGTGTTAGGGCAGTTTCTAAAAACTGTCAGATGAGAATCACAGTCTGAGGAACAGACATATTTAATTACTGTCACAGAATTTCCTCCCTTCTAAACATGTGAAACTTCAGAAGGGTAGAAATATTTCATGGGTAGACAGTCTGAGATACTGGCTCATTCAGTTCTCTACATCAGTGTAATGGGTCAACTTTGCTGTGAGTGCTCTTTTTTCACTGAGAGGGTGAAAAAAAAAATTAAAGCTCATTTAAAATTATGTATCTCAGTGTTAACTGAAAAGTCACACGTTTTCATATATGTCTGGACTATAAGACCTGAGCCAAGAAGCCACTGTCAGAAGCCTCATCATGGTTAGAATAGAACAGAATAATCCTTTAATTGTCCCAGAAGGGGAAATTTGGTTGTAACAGCAGCCAGAAAGAAAGGTTGAGTGCAGCACAAGCACCATTTTTATATGCAGGGTTTAAGTTACAAAAAAGTAAAGACAGTGCAAAAACAAAGCTCCCTCATCAAACATAGGGCCTTTTTTTAAAAATAGCTTTCAGGCTGTCACCCACTTCAGACTGGAACATGTGGTTGCAGTGAAAAGTGGCAAGTTGCTTCAACTGGTTAAGTTGACATAACCTGTCTATCCTATTTAAGATGTTATTACCTTTGTGTAGCAATCTTTGCTCAACACAAGCCTGTACTATTTTATTACTTTTCACACTGAATAGCTAGAACTAAAGACCAATGCAATTTGAGAAAATTCCAGTCGAGTGGCGTGTAAAGAAACACAAATTTACGTATTTACCGACTACTACACAAGAAAAATCTCGAGTCTTTCTTGTATAGCCCAGTCTGTTCCACTGGAATACCAGATGAGATCAGTGAGTTTGCAGGAAAATAGATGAGCAGAAGCAGCAAGGCAAGATCAGACTCAAGATTATGAATTTTACAGGGTAATGTGGAGGATTAAACATGAGATGGCCTCCCACAAGACCTCAAAATATTTTTACCTTAAATTTGACCATGAGCTAAGGTGGTTCCAATGGTTCCTAGTCCCTAGGGAAAGATCCTGTTGCGGAAACAAGACTATAGTTTCTATTTGAACAGGCAGATTGCTGGCCATCTAAACAGCCTGTCTGGATGCAACACATTAAGTTATTTATATCTGGCATCAGATATTCATCAGCGGCCTCATTTGGACATTGGAGAAGGTTTCTTCATACAACGCACATTTTAACGAGGGAGATGTTTGGCCACCTTAAAAGATTTCTGTTGAAACGGCAGAATTTAATCAGCCAGATTGGGTAGTTGATAAGACCAGCAGACCTCTGCTCAGTCGGATCGTTTTGAAAATGTGGGATTAGAATCTCTGAGAAAATCCATCTGCATGTACATGTGGAGTAAATGTGACATAAGAAACATGTATATAAACTAATATCCTAGTGTCCATTAGTTTGGAAATATTGGACACATTTTATGTATATAAGGCCACGAGTCCGTCATGATTGGCTCCAGCTCCCCTGCAACGCTGATAAGGATAAAGGGAAGAGAGGTGTGTGTATAAAAGGTTTTTTTTAAATATGGTGTCATCCACTGGAACTGTTTGTGCTCCATTACATGAAAGGAGCTGAATTTAACAGGAAGTAGGAAAAAATGGAAAAGCCTAAAAATATTGCCAGTGTAATTAATATGAAGACATTTCACAGCCAGGATTTCAACAGGCTATAGAAACATTTCTTCACAGTAACATGTCAAGGTCAGTGCCACTTTCTGCCCTGTCTGCATATAAAGTCCTGAAGCAAGCTATGCTCACACTGTGTTCCAGGACGTGTCAATGCAGGATGCAGAATTTCCATGAAACACATCTACTTGTTCAAATTCAAATTTTATTTGTCACACACACACACACACACAACCATACACAGTATGACATGGGGGTGAAATGCTTGTAGCTGTACAATGCCAGACCATTAAATGACAGAAGAAAAGTTTTACAATATTTACAATTTACTACAAAAATTTACAAATTAACTTAGGAATTTACAGTAAAGAACGTGCAAATAGCAGAAGAGATTATAAAGATAAGGATTATAAATTATAGGAATTATAGGATTATAGGAAATGTGTGGTGGTGCGTGTGGTGACGTGTGTGAGAGTCCAGTCTTATAGTGACGTGTTTGGGAGAGTCCAGTCCTACACCTGGTTCAGGCCCCGAATAGCCTGGGGGAAGAAGCTCCTCCTCATTCTCTCTGTTTTGGCCTTAAGGGAGCGGAAGCGCTTCCCAGACCTCAACAGTGAGAAGAGTCCATTGTTGGGATGGGAGAGGTCCATCATAATCTTCCTAGCTTTGGACTTGCACCGCTTGGTGTAGATGGACAGCAGGTCAGGGAGCTCTGATTGAATGATGCGTTCTGCCGAGCGCACCACCCTTTGCAGATCTCGTCTATCCTGCTTGGTGCTGTTCCCAAACCAGGTGCAGATGTTTGACGTCAGGACGCTCTCGATGGTGCAGGAGTAGAAGTTCTTGAGCGCCTTCAGTGGCAGATGGAAGTCTAAGTCTTCTGAGGAAGAAGAGACGCTGACGGGCTTTCTTAACCAGGGTGTTGATGTGACAGGACCATGACAGGTCTTGAGTGATGTGGACACCCAGGTATCGGAAACTGTCCACTCTCTCCACTGGCGTGCCACTGATGATGAGGGGTTTGTAATTCCTCGCCTGCTTTGTAGTGAAGTCCACGATCAGCTCCTTAGTCTTGCTGATGTTTAGGAGGAGGTTATTCTCCTGGCACCAGGTCTCCAGGTTCCTAATCTCCTCCAGGTAGGCCGTCTCGATGTTGTCGGAGATTGTTAGGTGTGGCTGTGTGCAGGCAGGAATAGGACCCAAGGTGCAGACTCCGGAGACAGACGTGAACTCAAAAAGGCTTTAATTTGGTACTCAAAAATATAACATAACTGAAAACACTCAAAACAAACTTAAACCAGAGGAATGACAGAACACACAGCTAAGAAAACGGTAGATCGCGACACAGACACTAAGAAACACAGGGCTTAAATACACAGAGGGAGCAATCAGGAAATGAGTAACAGGAGGGAAACACAGCTGGGGCAAATCAGAACTGACGAGACCAAAGAAGCGTAAACTGAACACACTGAGAAAAGACGGAGACCTTCAAAGTAAAACAGGAAACACATAACACAGACTGAACAAAGACACAGACTCACATGCAGGCACTACAAAGGGAACAGAGACATGGGAACAGGGCAGACACAAACACTGACTGAACACGGGGATATAGGAACTTAAGATACACATAGACGCGAACTAGACAAGGGGATGCAGGTGATAGGGGAGACAGGGCAACTAAAGAAGACAGAGACATAAGCCATAAGACAGAACTCAAAGAAACCAAAAACTAGACAGTATAAATAATATCATAAACTCAAAAACCCTGGGTCGATGACCCAGGCATCCTAACACTACTACACTCACCGTGTTCCATCTGGTCATAATCAGCTGACTGTGCTCAACTTTGGGATTGCAGGCCTCAGTCCTGACAGCTGATGACATGAAGACAATTATAAGAGATTCACAAAACATGAGAATTTGCAAAACAAATTGCAATCATTCCACTTTCATATAAACACAAGCAAGAAAAATCAGCTTTGTTGAGTGATAAAATCATTCAACAAAAACAAGAATAACAATATGTAGTGACAGTCACTAAAAAAGTGCAAAAACCACAACCATTAGTAGCAGCTGGGTTGTTTGGATTGTATATGGAGTCCACATTCTGATTTAGATACTGTGTGTCATGCTTCTCTGAGGTTCATCACTAACTGTAAATTTCAGACACACCACAGTTATACTCTCAGGTGGGAGGGGCTGCTTTGGCCAGTCGGAGGAACTCTCATTTATATTGTTTTATATTTAAGGCAATACTCAGATTGCTGCCTTCCTATATATGTTCCCTGCTTGCAGTGAAATATGCTGATCGTTGTTCTCTTCATCTGCAAGGTTACTTGTTGCTTTCTGTTCCATTTGCACGACCTGAACTTGGCAAAAGAGCTTTTGTGCATTTAGCACCCTTTGCTTAGAACAAGCTGCAGAACGACTGGAAAATGACTGAATTCATTTCATTAAGTGCTTTTGAATCTAAACTAAGAATCCTTGTGACCAATTCCATAACATGCAACTGTTTCAATAAGATTGTTTGTCATTTTAACTGAATTTTAGAATTTTTATTTAATTTTATCTTTATTTATTTATTTAATTAATTAATTAATTTTTCATTTATTTTAGAATGTCTGTTGTTGCTGCCTGTGTTTAATTGAGTAATTTTTGTAACTGTGAGACATTTGCTGCTGCCTATCTTAGGCAGGTCTCTGTTCAAAAATATGTTTTTAATCTCAATGGGATCTTCCTGGTTAAATAAAAAAAAAGTAGGTTAGATGCATTCTAACTTTTTTATTCTTTTATTTTGTGGGTTTAAATGTCTTATATTCTCTCTCTCTCCCTCTCTCTCTGTGTGTGTGTGTGTGTGTGTTGTCTCTGCAGAATGTAGGGGATGTGGAGAGCACCTTAAATATCCTCAGTGTCTTGGATGAACTTCTGTCAGCTGGTAAGATCATCTTCTCACCATTTGGTTTCCATCCTTACGTAAAAAGTTGTTGTGCTATGGAAAATGCCAATAAACACACAAAGCCTTTAAAGGCACAGTCTGTTTTTTTAATTAATTATACTAAAAACTAAGTTACTAAGAACTCATAACTGTACTTAAATTCATGTGTAATTACATCTTCCAACAAGCAGATGCAATCTTTTGAACTTAGAATTCATCCGTTCACTTTTTTCCTCCATAAAGATGACATTTGACGACCTCCCCTGTACCTTTAAGATGAGTTTTGACTCCTCATTATATATATATCAATAAAAACATGACTTGATGATCATTAATAAAGTTTCCAGGTTTTTCCAAGGGTAGCTGCATAGTCAGAAACCTAGAAGCAGGTCTGAAATATGACAGAAACCCCTCAATTCAGAAAAGTTCTTCAAGCATTATTCCTACTAGCCTTTCAAGGAGTAAAGAGTTGAAAATACACAGGAGCAGGCAATGGTTTGAAGTCATCGTGCTGCCTCATCATCCTGAATAAAATAGCCGGGATGAACGTCACTGTTCCAACTAATTGCAATTTATGTACGAGGCTAGAGACCAGCTACAAATATAGTATACCAAGGGGGAAAGGAGAGGAGAACTCGTAGGCATTTGTGCTGGAGAGGCAAATTTTAATATGTGTCTGCACCTTTATGTCACAGTGTGGCAGAAGCAGACTGTGTGGATTGACAAAACGGACCCAAAACACAGATTCACAAAGTTTTAGATGAGTAAAAAAACACAAACAACCAACATATTGACAGCTGAGGTAAATAGTGGAGCCGCAACCCACACTCAGAGTGACAGTCTATGCAGATAAATATCAGCCACAGTTGTTTGTCATACAGCGGCCACTGTAGCTAGGATCACACACTTTAATTGGGAGGTGGAAGAAAACAGAGCTCATTTGACTTCAGCTGGCATCTAGGGCTGGGTGTAGCATGTGCCAAATGAATGGATGACAGTAATCCTATTTTTAGTAATGCAGTTATGTAATGCGTTACTGTACTAAATTCTGTAAATACATTAAAATTAATATTATTTTGTTACTTGCGTTACTTGTTTTTTCAGATATATGCACCAGGAAGGATAGGAAGAAAACAGCATACACATGTATGCTGGGAAGACAAAAAATATAGAGTGGTTTATAGCTTTTGAGAAGTGGCAATATGGACATTAATTTTATTTGTATTGCATGAAAGGACATAAGTGCAATGGTGAAATCCAAACAACATCCAAGACAGAAACAACTGCAGTATACTGCTAACAGAACTGTGGCTCTTAGACAGATTGCTAAGAAGCTAATCAACAACAAGTGATGTCAAAGCTGAGTGTATTCAGACCCCAGCCCAGCAGCCAGAGGCTGAACTTCTGCAGGTAACAAAGGCAATGATGTGTCTATATATAGACATATAATAGGATCAAATGTGGAAACTGGTTACAGCTGAGTACATAGATAGAAAAACAAATAAAATAGGGGAATCGCAAAAAAGGTAAATAAATAAAAGAAGGAAAAAAAAGAGATTTTATTATCAGATAAGTAATATTTTTCAGAATTAGAAGGTGAGGGCACTTGGAAGATATCTGTGGCTGTCACACCCCTCGTATTCTGAGGATGACTAAGGTTTAAGTCTTCATTTGGAGCAGTAATGTCCTTTGCAATAAATAGAAGTACTTGATGAATGCCCATTTGAATGCGGCTTGTAGCATCCTTTATATTTTTTCAAAATAGTAAAAAAAGGCACTATTTATATTTCAGTCCCTTTCAGCCAAGCACTAACCTCTGCTCTCTGTTCAGGTACAGATGGGCGCATCCACTATATGATCAAGAAAGGTGGTAGTGAGGCTCTGCTGACTGCACTGGTTAAATATGGCCACACTTTCAGTCCCAACTACACTATACTCATACCACTCCTGCACCTGCTAGCTAAAGTTGGACACAAAGGTGGGAATGAACAAAACAACATGTATTGTGATAACTCTTTCTAACTCTTAAAGTTTGTTTAGGAAAGGTGAGATGATCTACAAAAATAGCACAGTGGTTCCTGATTCACTGACAGCTATGTTTGTGTGTGAATAATGAAAGCTTCTCACAGAGATATATCTGTGCTTATTTGTCTGACCAACAATTTAAATCATACTGAGGGTCATTGTATGTTACAATGTACATGGTATGAAGGCATATTCATAACATACCTTCATACCGTGTACATTGTAATATACCCATAATAGACCCATTTTTGTACCTTCATACCTATAACAGACCCATTTCTGTAATATATCTATATACCTATATTATTGCTAATATGTATTTTGTAATATATTTATATCATGGCTAAAGCACTTCTGGATGGATGCAAACTGCATTTCGTTGCCTTGTACTGTGACATGTGCAATGACAATAAAGTTGAATTCTATTCTATTCTAATTCTATGTTGCAATATTAAAAAAAAGCAAAAGGTCTATAATGGAAATACAAAGCAAACTGCTAATACATTTAGGTAGCACTTAGTTATTATTAGCAAGTGCTTAATTCATCATTTACATGTCATTACTAGTCCTTAATATGTCATTTAGAAATGCAGATATGTTTAGCCATCTGCTAATGTTACACCATGTCAAGCGATCACTGCTTGGTGTAACTATGTAGAGCTATTAATGCTACTACATCACTGCTAGTAATAATCACAATTACACTCATGGTAATTTTCCAAAGATGGAAAAAAATCATATAACTTTAATATTTGAATGCTACTATTTTAAGTACTTTTTCATTGGGGTTGCTGTTATTTTTGGATGTTTTTGACTTCTTGCATTCTTAAAATTTTCATCACTTACTTTCACAATACTTACTGTCACCATGCGTATTCATTGCAATGTATATATATATATATGTAGACCGTCGTATTGGTATGAAAGCAGAAGAGGCAGGTGCAGTGCTGCTGACTCTGAATCTGCTGAAACACAATGGCCAGCATGCCAGGAGAACTGCTGCCTGCCTCTGGGTGATCCAAGTCTTCTGTTCATCAGGTAAACAATATAGTTGTTTTTGTCACCAGCTTGGAGTTAAATTCATATCCTGGAGGCTTACCCTAAAAATAATCATAGCTGCTATTTCTCTAAATTCTAATCCAAACTTTACCCTTATCCTAAACCCTACCTTATACATTGTCATCCAGAGTACTTTATTATTGAATTCTTCATTAACAAGTAAAGCCTCCACCTTAATTTTTAAGGGGAGAGTATTTCAGAAGCTTTACCTGTTGCTGTGTTTAAACTTATATGTTGATAATCTTAGTAACAGAGTTAAAGTCAGTTGTGTTGTCTTGACAGTTTCTACAGCAAACCTCATAGGAGAAAACCATGGACTGGATGTCATCTACCGCCTCATTCCTCAATACACAACCAAGCATCTGCATGCTATTAAGTAAGTATCCTAAGGGCTTTCTGCATTTTCCACTGATCAGTTTTACCATATAGATACAGTCAGGGCCATAGGCTTTTGAACAATTTTTCATCCAGAATCCAATAATGTTTTTGACACAATTTTTTTGTAATTTTGCTTTCTGCAGTACCGCAGTGGACTCTAAATTAAACAATCAAGGTGTGATTTAAGTGCAGACTTTCAGCATTAATTCAAGTGGTTTATAGAAATAGTTGATGAATTATAGCTAGCTGTTTATAATACCAGTTTTGGAAGCTAGGGATCGGAGTGCCAGGACCTCTCGATCCACTAACACTGAAGCCCTATGTCGACTCCTGCGGGTGGTGGGCCCACAGGCGGACGGACCCATGTTGCTTTTCTGGCCCGGCCACCAGATGCTCACCAGACATTCACTCGAGACACTACCCTGGGCCTGGTGCGCTGGACCCTTGAATTGTTCTGGATGAACATTTTTGCAGCACATGATTGGCTGAAGTTCAGAATTCATGGACTCCCTTGGGACGCTCAGCTAGACTTTAACTGTAGATGCTTTCAGTTGCAGCTTGTTTGGGGATCTCTCTGACTACAGTACTGTCTTCAATACTGAAAAGCATGACTGAGATGAGGTTGCTGACATGGAAGAATATCCTATTTTTTTGCCTTGAGAAACCTTTGGGTGAGAACTGCGATAATAAATAAAGCCAATGACAACTATGATAGGCTATATTTGGATAAATAGTTCAAGTAATGGTTTTATTAAATCCTTCGAATTAAAGTCTGAACTTCAATACAATGTGACGGCATCAAGAACCAAACTTATAAAATTGTGTCACTGTCTACTGACCACTCATAGTTCTTTAAACTACAAGCCACATTTAACCATATATGAGAATATTTAACTGCCCCCCATTGATCCATCCATTTTCTTAATCGCCTGTCCAGTTAAGGGTTGCAGTGGGACCAGTAGCCTGTCCCAGCTCTCACTGGGTGACAGGCAGGGTGGTGGTCACCCATACGGAAAAGAAATAGTAAAAACTTATATGTGATTTACTCATGAAAGTGGCCACTTTCGCATTACTTTCATACATCGTTTTAGTAAGTATCCAAAACATACACGTTTCATTATATAATTTTTCAAGGGATCTTATATCTGTTTTCACACTTATATGCTTTTCATACAAGTTTCACACAAGACAGATACAAACTTTATAAGATTTATATATATCTTTTCCATATGGGCAGAGAAACTGAGATTTTGTTATAGTCCAGGTATAGTACACTGTCACGGAGAAGTGTATTTAGGCTTTAAAGATATTATCTCCCCCCTGCTTGTAATGCAACATCTGCATGCAGTAATACAACTTCTGCATGTGTGTCTATTTCCAGTTTTAAAGCAGCAAAGCATGAAATGGACATGGTGGACCGGCCTGTCTATTACATGTTTTCCTGTTTCCTGTAATACTGGGTTGGAGATTCCTGCTGGACCCACGTACTCGGTTTAAAAATTCATGGGGATATGACTTTTTGGGCAAGGTTGTGGATTTTTCTTCCACTGCCTTTACTCTGTAAACTCCACTGATTCATTTAAAAAACAGCTGAAGGCATACTGACAACCTTTAGGTAAATTGTTGTTTTATGTTTTTTTTTTTGTTCATTCTTATGATATATTTTATTTCTGGTTTTATTGTAAAGTATATTGTGATTTTTACCTGTAAAAAGTGTTTATAGATGCATTTTACTTACTTACTTGACCTCAGTGTAGCATTTGACACCACAGACCACAAAATGTTAACACAGTGATTACAAAATGTGTTAGCCATTAAAGTTACTGCCCTGCAGTGGTTTGAATCATAGCTCGCTAATATCATTAACTCTAATTTGTTCGTGTAAATGGAGAGTCAAACACTAAGCACTGTTATAGAGTACCACAGGGTTCTGTTTTTGGACCAATTCTGTTTAAATTATACAGGCATAATACATTAGGCAGTATTGGTAGAAGCCATAACATACAGTGCATTCTCATTGCTATGCAGATGATACCTAGCTTTATCGATCCATGAAGCCAGGTGACATACACCGATTAGTTAAACTGCATGAATGTCTTAAAGACATACAGACCTGGATGAACTCTAATGCCTTGTTTCTAAATTCAGATTAAATTGACTTTCTTGTACCATTTTACAAACACGATTCTTACTCTAGATGGCATTACCTTGACCTCCAGTAACACTTGGAGCCATTTTTGACTAAATGTCCTTCAATGCGTATATTAAAACAACCACATCTGTGTTATTAGCACAGTTATATTTAATATCTTAGTTACCGGTATATCTAAGGCAGTATTCAGGGTCAACTAATCCAGCCCTAACTATATGCTTTATCAAAAAGAAAAGTTTTCGGGTTAATCTTAAAGAATAGAAAGTGTCTTTTTCCCAGATCCAAACTCTACTTGGTTCCACAGGCTCAGTAAGCCAGCAGTTTGAGAGCAAAGTGCTCAATTGGGACAATATGGTACTCTGAAGCCTTTAAGAAAAAACAATTCAAGACCTTGTATGTAAGAAGAAAGATATTAAATTCAGTTCTGGAATTAACAGGTAGCTAAGACAAGGCAATACAGGAGAAAAATACTCACTTTCCAGTCCTTGTCAGTACTCTCACTGCAGCATTTTCGATCAACTGAAGGCTTTTCAGGGAGCTTTAGGACATCCTGACAAAAATGAACTACAGTAGTCCAGACTGGAAGTAATAATGAAGATGAATCAATTTTTCAGCGTCACCCTGAGTCAAGATTTTCTAATTTTAGAAGTCAAATAATTTCATGTTCACTCATACATAAAGATTTACTTTGACAATTACAAATGCAATTCGTTTTTTATTTTAATTTGGTGTTGATTCAAATGAGTCAGACGTCACTTTTCTGTTTTTTTCCTAGGGCAGCCATTAATGCCTTTTCTGCTCTGCTGTGCACAAGTAAGTTTTTTTATTACCTTGAGCATTCCTCAGCTGATGTTTCCATTTTCATCATCACCATCTTCATTACCATCATGTCACAACTGTTTCTCCGGGGACACATTGGCAATGCTTGATTTGTGAGGTCATTTTGTTTTCTTATGATTTTTGTGTCTAATTTCAAGGACCATAAAGATACCTTACACGGCATTTAGTGCAATGAAAATAGATTTAAATAGATATTGCATTTTTTTATGTACTATAGAACTTAACAGGTGGGGATCAGGCTAATATAAACTACTGCTTTCACAAAATAAAAAATAGGGCACTAACAAGAGCTGCATGCTTGCTTGAGTTTAAGCTGGTTGACAAAAATGTAAGGCTTATACATTGGGGCAGTTTAGAACACAGCTCTCATATCTGTGGCTTCAAGGTGGAAGAGCCTAAGAGGAAGAGCTTTCCACATGATTCCAAGATAGTGTTTAAGTTATAACTACAGAAGGAATAAGCTAATGCATGATACTGTGCACAAGAACAGAGTCTGCAGAGAGGGATCAAGACAGGCCCATGAATGAGGGTTTAAAATGTTTGGTTAATTGTCACAAATTGACAGAACTTCCAGGAACCATTAAGCAGTTCATTTAAATGCATAAATACAGATGAACAGAACTGCAATTCAACGTTATTACATTTCAGAAGTTATTGTCATTAAAATCTTCTAATCGACAGTTTTGACATATGATCTGTTACTGACATGATCTGAATTTGTTGTTGTTGGCTTTTGGAGGTGTAATAAAAGTATATGTGCATTGCGCAGTGTCATTTTAAAAACTGGAGGTGAAGACTGAATTTACTCTCTCAGCTGTCAAGCTTTTGCTACTATAGTCAAAATTACATTACAAAAAACATTGGAAGTGCAGCTTAAAATTGAAGAAACAGTTTAATGTTTTATTTAAATTGTTTTCAATAAAATGTAGACAAAATAGATTAAAATTTGACAAGGGGTGGACCTCATCGACCCCTTTCATAAAGATGGGAACCACCACCCTGGTCGGCCAATCCAGGGGTACTGCCCCTGATCTCTATGCAACATTGTAGAAGCGTGTCAACCAAGACAGCCCTACTAGGACTCCTTCTTCAGTTTGGTGGCTCCCCTCACCTCTCCAAACATTTTTTTTACAAATAAATAACTGAAAAGTGGGGTGTGCGTAATTATTCAGCCCCCTGAGTCAATACTTTGTAGAACCACCTTTTGCTGCAATTACAGCTGCCAGTCTTTTAGGGTATGTCTCTACCTTTCCATTGTTGCCCTGGCTTTATGTTTAGGGTCGTTGTCCTGCTGGAAGGTGAACCTCCGCCCCAGTCTCAAGTCTTTTGCAGACTCCAAGAGGTTTTCTTCCAAGATTGCCCTGTATTTGGTTCCATCCATCCGTTTGCTGTGTCCCCCACATGGCTTGTGGCAAACTGCAAATGGGACTTCTTATGGTTTTCTGTTAACAATGGCTTTCTTCTTGCCACTCTTCCATAAAGGCCAACTTTGTGCCGTACACGACTAGTAGTTGTCCTATGGACAGATTCCCCCACCTGAGCTGTAGATCTCTGCAGCTCGTCCAGAGTCACCATGGGCCTCTTGGCTGCATTTCTGATCAGCGCTCTCCTTGTTCGGCCTGTGAGTTTAGGTGTACGGCCTTGTCTTGGTAGGTTTACAGTTGTGCCATACTCCTTCCATTTCTGAATGATCGCTTGAACAGTGCTCCGTGGGATGTTCAAGGCTTGGGAAATCTTTTTGTAGCCTAAACCTGCTTTAAATTTCTCAATAACTTTATCCCTGACCTGTCTGGTGTGTTCTTTGGACTTCATGGTGTTGTTGCTCCCAATATTCTCTTAGACAACGGTCGTGTCCAAATTCATGGGCTGCATCCTCCTGAGGACCCAGCCTTCGCGGTCTACGTGGGCCGGGTCCTCAGAAGGTCGGGTAGGCCGGAAGTAAACGGCTGTGGAATTGGACGGTCTAGCCTTCTGATTAGCGTCACCGCTATCTCGGTGGAGTTTAATAAACTCAGCCGTCTGCTCCTTGCTATCTAAAATATAACAGGACACTGGAGTTAATTCTCGACCATCTCACACTTCTGTTTAATCAGTTTTCTGTTTGACGTTTATTCAGCTGTGTGAAAACCAAGGAGGAGGGGGATTAATAAAGTTTTATTTTATCTAATCTAATCTAATAACTTTAATCTCAGCCAAACCGATTTACTCACAAAAACAAAAAAACAAAAACAAAAAAACACTGAAAAAAGCCCAACAATAACATTTTTAGGTTGTCTAAGTGAATTATATATCACGTTTAACCTGAGTAGCGAAAGTCTGCGGTGATCTGAAAATGATGTGCTGGGAGTTGTGCCGTTCTCAGCGGCTTCAGTAACCCTCGAGCTCTCGGCTAGCTATCGAGCTGGTGGGTAACAGACGTCTCCGAAAACGTCGAACCACTTTTGCAAATATGCAGTGTCTTGATAAACCGAGCAGATATTTGAAGTTTACACACCCACATTCTCGCCTGAAAATATGTTAAAAGTTTATTTTGTGACCCAGAACGATTAATAAGAGTAATTTTAAAACTTAGTAGCGGCCGCCATTGCTGGAAACTGGAGTTTGGCTGGGCCGCGCTACGAATTCTGGGATATGATAGGCCACGAAGGACACACCCGACCCATCCTTCAAATTCGGAGAAAAGGAGGACCCATTTGTCGGCTGCATTCAGAGGAGTCTACGAATTTGGACAGCCTTCGGTGCGTCGCTGTGACGTAATCGGTCTACAAATCCGTCCTCAGGAGGATGCAGCCCATGAATTTGGACACGACCAACCTCTGAGGCCATCACAGAGCAGCTGTATTTGTACTGACATTAGATCACACACAGGTGCACTCTATTTAGTCATTAGCACTCATCAGGCAATGTCTATGGGCAACTGACTGCACTCAGACCAAAGGGAGCTGAATAATTACGCACACCCCACTTTGCAGTTATTTATATGTGAAACATGTTTGGAATCATGTATGATTTTCGTTCCACTTCTCACGTGTGCACCACTTTGTGTTGGTCTTTCACGTGGAATTCCAATAAAATTGATTCATGTTTCATTCATTAATGTTTCTTTTGGCTGCGTTTCAACTAGCCCCAGATTTATTAATAATATTTATGTGACAATGCAGTTCAAACTATACTACGGAATGACATGAAAGTAATGTGACAAGTAGTTACTTTCTCCAATGAGTAATTAAGTACTCTTTTTAAGTAATGCATTGCAAAATGTAATGCATGTTCTTCAGCAAATGAAAAACCAGACAAAAATATTCAAAATAATCAGCTCAGAATTCATCACTAATTTCCTTGCACAAAAAGGAGGTTTCATGGAAATTTTTGAAGCCTGTACAACCAGCTCCAATGGACCATCACCCATGAAACTCTAATTATGAAAGCCTTTTTAAAGCCTTGGAAAAAGAGAGCAGCAGACATATAGACACATTTTATGCTTGAGCTCAAAGAATACAAGATGCCCTACCATGTGTCGCAGGGGCGACATTTGCAGACAATTCACCTTAAAAGGTAAGTGTGTTGAAGCTAACATAATGTTATGAGTTACTGATGCACTTTTGCCAAGCTATGAAGGAAAAAGCGCTAGTGGTCATCTAAAGTAAACATAACCGATCTGAGAAGTAGCATTAACTTTACATGAGATATGAAAAACTGTAACGCAGTTTTTACAAAAAAAAACAGAACTTTATTTTTATATCTCTTATTCACGTCACAGTTAAGAAAACCTCAAATGACAGCAGCTCTTCTAAGTGATTCTAAGTAGTAACAGGAAAAAGAGGAAGCTACTGTAAAAATTGATAGGATTATGCACAGGATTATCAGTCTGTACTATTAAAGACCAGGATCATGTTCATATGATGGAAACAGAAGTTAGTAAGATGACTGTTCCATAGAAAAGCAAAGAAACCTGATAGACAAACATTATGAAGATGAAATACAAAACTTCAGAAAGAAATAACAAAAAGGTATACAAGTATGTAAACAAGAGAATATACACATGAAGACAAAATAATCCCCAAATGGAATTGACAGATTTTGACAAAATTTTCCAAAATTGTGTCAAAAACAAAATAAATCAATTTAGATTAGGGAAAAGGACAAGTATGTATGTGCTTCACTAACTGCACATTTTGTCATATTACAGTCCTATTCCAAAATGGATTAAATTCCTTTTTCACCTCAAAATTCTACACACAATACCCCTAAATTGGAAAGAGAAAAATGTTTGCTTGACATTTCTGCACACACACACACACACACACACACACACACACACACACACACACACACACACACACACACACACACACACGTGTGTGGTTTGTGTTTGTGTTTTGTAAAACCTCTCCTCCTCCATCAGGTTGGAAGGGAAACACTAGTGCACAGCCATTTTCAGATCTCTCCAGAGATTTTCAATTGGGCTCAAGTCTGGGATCTGGCTGGGTCACTCAAAGACATTCACAGAATGGTCCCAAAGCCACTCCTTTGTTATGGTTGTGTGTTTATGGTCATTTTCCTGCTGGAAGATGAACCTATGCCCCAGTCCGAGCTCTCAGGAGCAGGTTATCATCAAGGATGTCTCTGTACATTCCTGCATAAATTTCCCTTGACCCTGACAAGTCTCCCAGTTCTGGTTGGTGAAAAAAGACATACGCACAGCATGATGCTTCACTGTAGGGATGGTATTGGCCAGGTGACAATTGATGTCTGGTGCAGACATAATGCATGCCATTCAGGCCAAAGATTTCAATTCTTGTTTCATCAGACCAGATAATTTTGTTTCTCATGAACTGAGAACCCTTCAGCTGCCTTTTGGCTAGGCTGTTATGTGTCTTATGGCTTCTGTCTGGCCACACCATCATGGCCTGATTGGCAGAGTGCTGCAGGACAACCATTTTTATAGAGCAATGCTGGAGCACTGTCAAAGT